TGGAGGGCTGATGGTGTCTGGCCGACGAAGGAGTGGAGTGTATGGTGAAAGTTGATGTTCCGCAATGCAAGATTGTATACGAGTAGCGCAGCGGATGGATAGCTGTATAAACCGTTCCAAGCCATAGGAATCATCATAGGCTGTGAGCTGAAGTTGCACCTTCGGCTCCAGTCCTTGCTGGTAGGTGGTCAGAAGTGCGCGCTCATTCCAGCCGCTGGCTGCTGCGAGGGTTCTGAATTTGAGGGCGTAATCATTTATGTTTTAAACGACATCTTTTTAGCCACTGATATGGGTGACTCTGTGGTCCTCGTTCTTTTAGATTTATCAGCTGCTTTTGACACTATAAACCATTCTATATTAATCAATAGACTAGAATCTTGGGTGGGCCTCTCTGGCACAGTTCTAAAGTGGTTCCAGTCATTTTTATCTGACAGGAAATATGTGGTGAGGCTAGGAGAATTTTTCTCTTCCACGGTTTCTCTCCCCTGTGGTCTTCCGCAACACTGCAGCAGAAATCCGTTGCCCTCCTCCGCCGAGCCAGAGAAGGGTGGTGGTCTGGCCATGGGACCGGTAAGTATTGTCGTGGAAGAGGAAGCAGCGCTGGTGATGGGTGTGACCGGTGGTGTGACAGTGGCAGGGGTGAGTATCCGTTTGAGGGCATCCACGATCTCCTGGAACGGGTCAGGTGCACTCATCTTGCTGAATCCCTTTGCGGAGTCTTCTGTTACGGAAGGAGACTCACACAGAGGATTAGAAAAATACAATATTGTTTATTTTCAGCAAGAGATGCAGATGGTTCGGGCAGGTGAGTATTTAAGCTTAATATCAGTCTTTAAGGACGATGAGGAGAGTAACACCGTATTTGGTCCTCACAGGAGATTGTGGAAGGGAGACAGAGGACTGCACACACCTCAGCTGAAGAGTACACGGAGTTTCCACGGAGCTGATGACTGGAACGGACTAGGGAATGGAACACAGGAGAACACACTGGAGGAAACACAGGAGGTAAGTATAACAGGCAGGTAAGTCTTTCAATATATCTCACGGATAGCATATATATATATATATATATATATATATAT